TCTCTCTGAATGATGAGACTAAAGTGCCGACTTATTTTATTCTTGGTAGTAATTAAAGGTCATTGTGCTATTATGTTTTTAGCATCTGCGGTAGTTATGACAAGTCATTTTATGTTCTGGTTCTTCCTTTTTAATTGTTGAGATCATGGTAATTTTGTTCCGTTGCAGGCCTTGCATCACCCTTTCACTGCCCCAAACCCTGAAGATATGAAGGATCTGTCCTCTGCCCGTGCCTTAGCTTATGACATGGTTTACAGCGGAGTTGAGGTTTATAAATATGTACTCTATTCTCTGTTAGTTGCAATATTGATCTTTTGCCAGTACTTAACATGTGAAATTCAACGGTGCAATACTTAATTGCTGTGGTGCTATCAGATTGGTGGAGGAAGCTTGAGAATTTATAAGCGTGAGATTCAAGAAAAGGTTTTGGAAATTGTAGGCATTTCCCCTGAGCAGGTGAGGAGACACTTAACAAATACTGGTTGGGTTGCTCAATTATTAATTACTAGGGCCGTGTTTTATCTCCTACGTTGTAAATTATTTTTATTTTCCCATCTAATGCAATATGTAAGTACCAAATTGGAGAAAGTATCCTCTTGTATGTAGATCTTTTGAATTACCTGATATTAATATTATCATGGTTTTCATACTTCTATGGGCCAAAATTTTCATTGTACTGCTAACAACCATCGATATATTTTCATGCATTGACCAATTCTTCAAGATATTGGATCACTGTGGTGTGCACACTACATTGAATTGAAACACATATGTGATGTTGGCACTTTGGAAAATAGTTCCTGGCAAGTTTTGGGTAGATCACTGTGGTTTGCACACTACTTTCTGATTTTTTTTTCTTTTTAGTTAAAATATTTTTGAAATGATAGATACAGCACATGTGTTAACCATTTAAAGGTGAGTTCCAATTGGACACCACTTGGAACTTTTGAATTTCCTTAGATTGATGTGTTAATACTTATTGCTCCCAAGGAAAGGAATAGCCGGATGTTAAATCTAGAAACTATTGACCCAAATGTAATATGGGCTCTGTTTTGTCTACAGGCTGAAGCAAGATTTGGCTATCTTTTGGAGGCTTTAGACATGGGTGCTCCTCCACATGGTATGAACTGCTAGCTTATATCTAACATAACAACAAATTACTATCATTTGGGGATAATTTATTCACTGTTGGCCTGGAAGTAAATGTCATGCATAATTTAAACCTGTATTGGTTAGATTGAATCATCGTTCTGCACTATTGATGAACACAAGGATTTTTTAATGCTAGGATGTCCAACTACTGCTCATCTGTCTATATTTTTGAGTTCTCTTGAACATTATTTGGACCATAGCCTCAGGCCAACAGTTATCTAATATTGGAATCGTCTGGTCTGGAATTAAGACTGATTCCTTAGAATGAATTTAACTTGACCATACACAACTCCATTGTTATGTCAAAGCTTGGTTTTATGGCAGGAATGGTTTTCATGTCAGTTAATCTGTATGTGTGTGATGCAGGAGGAATTGCTTTCGGGCTGGATAGATTGGTGATGATGTTGGCTGGTGCAAATTCCATCAGGGATGTTATTGCCTTCCCGAAGACAACAACAGCCCAGTGCGCCCTTACTCGTGCACCCTCTGAGGTGGATCCTCAGCAATTAAAGGATCTTTCATTTAAGACCCAATAGTTTTTCTTATTCATTTTACTTATTCTTCTTCTTTTTGGGTGAATACTTATCCTTCTGTTATTGAGTAATGATAATTTGGGGTTCAGTAGCTTGGGTACATCCATATTTTGCTCTGTGAGGAATATTTTAATATGTATATTTGGAATGATTTTGGCTACATCTAAAATAATCTTTGTTATTGTAGACTTCAAAACTCTGTGTAATTGATATATTCAGATGCAAAAAAGATCTCATTCCTTTTGTTTAACATTGCACTTGGACAAGAGTGAGCTTTGTTATTTCCCTCTGCTTGCTGAAACACTTCTGCTCTTGTTGATTTTGGGATTCTAAACAATAATAATAATTATTATTATTTTGTAGAAATTGATGTGACATATCGTAACAAAGTATTGGTATTTAAAATAGACTTGCTAAAATTAATGGATAAGAGTAATTTAACTGACATATTACTTTGTAAATAAAATCTATAAGGAAAGTTTGTTGTATAGCATTTCTACAAATCGTTTGGATAGTTGTGTACAAAAATAATTAAATAATTTTTCTTGTGGACTAGGTTTGGAAGGGTGAGTGGATATTGTTATAATACATGAAATAAAAAATAAGATTTATTGATGAGAACCAAAGGAATAGACTCCTTATTAAGGTCGTCAATCCTACAAATAAAAATTTTAAAAAGAAAAAGAAAGTCAAGTTTTTATAATCACTTGCTATGATATTATGGTTTCCCTCTCAAAAATGAAAAGTTAGGGTATATTATGCCTTCGTTTGAAAAGTAGATTGACTTTTTGATTATTTTAGTTTGGGGTTTTTTAATTTTTTTTTTAAACTTTTGTGAAAGAAAAAATGAAATGATTATGATTTGAATGTGATATTTTGTCTTATTAATTTTTTAACTTATTATCTTTTTATGACTAAAATAGCCTCGAACTTACATGCTAAACATAGCCTATATAGCTGGTTTATCTAGTTTGAGTGGAGTTTTATTTTAATTCTTATAGTTTCAATTCAAGTAATTTAAATTTTATATTTCCAGTTTTATTATAATGTGAATATTCCGTCAATTATCATTAGAATTTTTGAATGGAAAAAAAATCGTGTGCAACTCACGTGGGATTTTAGCAATTTCACTTATCGTTACAATTCTAAAAGAAAAATACCGTGCAACTCATGTGAAATTTTTAGCAATCCCATGTGAGTTGTATATGGTCTTTTTAACAATTTCCCCACAAGAATTTATTTATTTATTTTTTACTAGTGGTTCCTATAGTTTTTTTTTTAAAAAAACAAATTTATTTTGCTTACTTTAGCTTTGCACGTGTTTTTTTTCTCTCCAAAATGTTAAGCAAAGTGTCACTCTAGTACTTGTATTATCAATTTGAATATTATATTTTTAGTTTTGTTATAATATTAGTCCTCTGTCATGACTGGAGTAACTACATAAAATTCAAAATAAACTATTGTGACCACTGATATAATTTATTAATTTGTTTTTCTTGTGTGAAAGTTACTAAAAATCCCACGTAAGTTACACGTGATATGTTTAAGTTCAAAATTATAACAGTAAATGACGAATGGACCACATTGCTACAAAACTGAAAGTATAGGATTTAAATTTAATATACAGAGTAACACTTCGTTTAAACTATAGAGAATAATAGTGTAATTTGCTCAAATTATAAAATTTTATATAGAATGATGTGATTGATTTGGTTTAAATAATTCACTCACTAACTTTTAACAAACTCCAATGAATTAAAAAAGTTAATAAATTTATTAATTTATATAATATTCTTCTTTATGAAATTTTTATTGGTTTGGACTCATTTTCAACTTTCTAGACAGAAGAAAAATGTCTACACAAATTTTCATCTTCTCTTCAAAGGATAATAACGGTCAATAGGACTTTAATTACTACAACTAAGCAAATTACATATATTGATGAGTTTTCTAAATTTTGCATTATTGTCAAGCTTTTATTTTATATATTGTTTTAAATTTGTATTTGTTGTCTGGATTAATGGCATCCAAGTATTTTAAATAAAAAATCTAGACATACATTTCATTGGATAAGCATTACATTACAACTGTGCTGCATAAATGCACATATTTAAACATTAATATTGAGAGTTGCTCTGTTTCTCCAACTTCTAAATTTGCTGTCATAAGCCAAAAGCATCTTGGTTTTGCATTCCCATCATTAGGATAAGTCTTTACATTTTCTTAGATTACACACACATCATTTTCCCACTTTTACATACAGATTAAAGGGGTGTTTGTTTTTTAATTAATTGGTGTCATTTGAGGCATAATAAAAAAGAGTTATGCTAGATTATTTTAAAATTTATTTACACTAACATGACAAGAGATTAAGTCTTAGTTGGTTGATTTTAAAATAATTAAAAAATTGATTTGCAACTATTTAGTTGATTTTTAAACAAATTAACAATTGATGTGCAATTATTTGGTTGATTTTAAACAAATTAACAATTGACGTTCAACTGCCTATGTTACTAGGGTGTAAATTTAGGGGATGACCCTTAAAATATCACGTTAGTTGTTGATTTGTTTAAAAATCAACCAATATTTAATCCCCTACCATGTTAATGTAGGTGAATTCAGAGATCTCTAGCATCACTTCTGTTTATCTCACCAATTTTTTAATTATTTTATATTATCAAATTACATGATAAAATATTATTTGTCATTATTATTTTATTAGCAATTTTTTTTAAATAAGAAATTAATTGTGCGAATTTACATAGTGATATAAAATAGTGATAAAAAATCAATGATATATCAACAAAAGATGAATAGCAAGGCTTTTTCATTATTTATTTATATTTGTAAATCATCTACCTATTCATCAAGTGTGTAATGATGGTGATGCATTAATGTCGCATACCATCCTATAATTATTTTCATTTTCATTTTAAAATTTATCTTGACATTTGAATTTGGTGAGTAATACAATTAATATCCCTCAACATATTTTAATTTAGTCCAACCAAGATCGCAATGAATTCATGACAATCGTTTAAATCCGGATAGATTTTTTGGTTTTGGGCAAATAGCATTGCACATAGATTAAATAAAAAGAAATTGAAGTCTCTATAACTAGCAAGTAATTAAATAGGTATTATGTTAATATAGACTTAGTTGATTTTTTGACATTTTACAAAAAAAAAACGTGCAAAAAACTGTACAAAAATAGAGAGAATGATGCGATAACATATAATAATTACTAACCCAAGTCTCCAAACAGGACCTTAGTGTGTTACAGTTTTTTATTTATTGTGATATCACAAAAGTAATATGAGTGGTGAGCAACTCCAACCACACTTTCTACTTTTTACTAGCTAAAGTACGAAAAAAATACACTTTTTATTTCACCTAATTACTTTAGCTATTATGTTCTCCAACTACACTCTTTATTTTAGTTAATTATTCAAACTAACTTAATTAATTTTTAAAACAAAAAATACTAATTGTTGATATTTTACTAATATAAATTTGCAATAATAATAAATTTGCCCATACAATGAAGAAAAAAAAATACAAAATACAAAATAAGTTATTCCGTAATTCATCAAATAAAATTGAAAGAATATGTAAAATTGCTACATACACATATACATATATAAAATATATAAAATCCCAAATCTAAGACATAAATATACAAAAATCCAAGATATATACACACATATTTGTTTGGAGAGCCTACGAGTCTCTTTAATTGTAACTAGCAAAAAGGTAAGATGGTAAAGTAGCCATCTGTTAGAGTCTAAAATTAGAATTATATTGGCTAAAATGCCTAATAAGTCTTTTTTAACTATCCCTTTGGAGATTACATCCCTTAATATATCATTCCATATTAACATTTAATGATGAGAGAGAGAGAGAGAGAGATAGATGAGGGATAGTGATTGAAAAGTGGGGTCCATTCCACATAATTAGGGATAAATTGAGGATACTCAATTAGATCTCTCAAACTTTTTTCTAATAATATTACATAATACTCTCATTAGGAGTTTCTTTTCACCTACCAATAACATTAATAAGGAGATTATAAGAATCATAGATCCACAAAATACCATGATATTATGAATAGGATTAGTAATACTAAAGATTAAATGGGATTATATACCTTATGAAAATATTTGAATTGTGTTTAATTATGATACGATACAAATGTTATGTGGTTAATTTTTACTTGTGAAAAAAATAATGTGACAAAACAATGTGAGATTGCTAATACCATGGAGTCATAGTATTGGTAATTTTACTATTTTGTGAGATTAGAAATGTTATGAGACTAACAATCCCAATTTCATAACTAAAAAATGATAAATTAGATAACACAAAAAAACTCATACATTTTATGCAGGGCCATAAGATACGGAATCCTAAACTTTTGGTGTGAGATTTCATTCGGCAGTTATAAATTTATTCTAATCATTAAATTATATCTTGAGATTTATATATTTCAATTATTTATTTATTTTTACCGCTGCATATGCATCTAAGGCATTGGGAAGAAAATATAATTCAAACAGCTACTTACCAAAAAAATTTTATCAGAAATTATAATTCAAATAACTACTTACCAAAAAGAATTATAATTATGATTATTTTATTTTTATTAATTTTTCATCCAGGGCCGAGTTCTTTTGGAGGTGCTGGATTTCTTGCTGGGCTGAGTTCTTTTGGTAGTGGTGGTGGTAACACTGCTGCTGGTGGTGGTGGATTTTTTGCTGGGCTTGGTGGTGGTGGTGGATTTCTTGATGGGCAGAGTTCTTTTGGTGGTGGTGCTGGTGGCTCGTCATTTCAGGCGGGCCCGAGTTTTGCTGGAGGTGGTGGTATTAGTGCTTTACCATTTGGTGCAGGGCCGGGTTCTTTTGGAGCAGGCGGTGGTGGTAGCAACAACAATGGCATTGTTCCATTTGATGGTAGGGTTCTAGACACCGGTGGTTCGAAGGCTCCTTATGGATTTAACCATGGCTATGGGCGTGGTTTTTACTAGAAGCTTATATGGCTGATTTATATTAATGTTTTTCACACTGTACACAGTTTTTCTTTTTCCTTTTTGTGTCATTGGTGATGTTGAACCCTATATTGGAATAAATTGGTACTTTATGTGTGTGATTCATATTGGCGTTGTGAGTTTACTTTCAATTTCTTGGAAAATATTATATGATTTTTTCCTCCTGAAAGTAATTAATTGTTATCTCATTTATCAATTTTCTTATTACTTTCTCAGACAAAATCTAGCTTAACCAAATAAGTACAAGAAAATAAATTTTATTTTCTCTTCACTTTCTATAATTTTCATTCTAATGAAACACACCTTTAATTTGAGAAGGAAAAATTATCTTAGCCATCTAGCATTGCTTTCAAATTATCTCTCTTGTTTTTTTTTTTTTGGTCTTTTAATCTTGTTTTTATATCCCAATGTTTGGGTCAGAACAAAGAGATGAAAGAAACAAAATGGATTTCATCAAGAACCCATCCACAGCAAAGCAAAAATGAAATTTCTCTAATTATTGTTAAGATTAATGGTTCTTCAATTTAAAATGATGAAGTGTATTTATCTGTCATTTGTGAATACTGATGCTATCCAAACTCCACATAATATTTACAGTAGAGGACTGAATGACAGATAGGAAGACAATGCATTCAATAAAAAAAAATCTGCATTATTTGTTTATTTATTATTTTGCTAGGCGTATTTGACTTTTTTTTGAATGGAGATAAACACTCAATATGCAAGGAACCAATGCCAATGTGTTAAAGATATATGGATTTGTGATTTGATCAATCCAACATATATAGAGTTGAGCTTTTGTTATGTTTTATTTTCAATGATAATTTTATTGCCGCGCAGAGCTGAGAAAAAGGGGTAATTAATCTCAAATTTCATGAAGCTTTATTTGTAAAGTCATTATAATTTCAAAACGGGAAATGCACTTGAATGCGTTCCTAATAAAATGAATGGAGAATCTAATGTGAGAGATAGTTTGACATTGAGGTATTTAATTTGTGAGAAACTGTGTGGAAATCAAGTCATTTGATGTATTAAAAAAAAATTCATAGAAAATATGTACAGTTTCATTTTTTTTGTTATTTATTTATATATATTTTGTTTATGGATTGTATGAGGAGGTTAAAGAAATATGGCATTCTCAAGTGTCAAATATGAATGTTTTATGAATTTCATATGAGACTGCTTGCTTACATAAAGTTTACTTTTTATGTACCAAAAAGGTTTATTGAAGGAAAAAATGACAATTTGTTGAATACGGGCCATTTCCCTAAATAAGCTAAAATAATAAATCAATTTCCAAACTAAGCCTAGTTTTGAAAGAATTCCCAAAATAAGTTAACTCGCGATTCACAATCGTGATTTCAACATATTTGCACCTATCTCACGTCAAACTTGGTAAATCTTAAATTCGTGGTTACAAAAAGCGTTTTTCATTAAGAAATCGCGATTACAAAACGCGATTTTAATTAAATTTTTTTTCTTATGAACTCGCTGTTCTGAACCATGATTTTATCCAAAAAAAAATTTCTTCTGAACTCACTGTTATTAACCCGATTTTATGAAAAAAAAAATTTCTTCTGAACTCGCTATTTCGAATCACGCTTTTAGACCAAAAATTTTTTCTGCTGAAATTGTGGTTGTGAACCACGATTTCAATACTGATTTTCCAACCACGCTTGGACCAACTGATGCCTAAAGTAAAGTAAACACAGTTGGTCTAATAAAGTTATTTCATAAAAAAAATAAAATAAAATCTAACAAATAAATTTCTAAAAATAAAAATAAAAATAAAATTCTAAAAATTTATGCTACCTTAGTGTTTAGGGATAAAATTTTTTTATTTTATTTTACTAAAATAAAATAAAAAAATTTTAAGAATTAAACCCTAAACCCTAGTGGAGCTAATTTTATTGCTAATGGCTGTTTAGGTTGAGGACCCTTTTGAGCAACCAGGTAACACGGCTAGGACTGTTGGCATTAGACATCTAACGTGGATATCGGAAGCATTTCAGGGAACCCACCATGCACTTATGTATGGAATTAAATTATGTTAGACATCTAACGAGGATATTGGATACTAAATTTGGTTAATCCTCTATTATGTATGGAATTAAATTATTGGGGTTGGATTATACGTGGTTCGTATGGAATTTGTATTACATTTAGAATTGGACGTTGAATATAAATTTTTTGGATGGTTGGAAGTGAAATGTGTGCACTTTGTTGAATGGTTGGTAATATATTCAATATTGATGGATTATATTATTTATATAGGGTACAGGTTGCACTAATAATGGATACAGGTGGTTCAAAAATTATAAAAAAAAAAAAAATTTAATATAGTATTTGGCGACTAAATATGTTGGTATCCAAAAATGTAAGCAAATGTTTTGGCGACTAATAATTTAGTAGCAAAAATAACTAAATGGCTTTTTGCGACTAAACAACATAGTAGTTAAAACAAATCAGAATGAGGGAAGTTTAATTGCCGACTAAATATTTTAGTCACTGAAAACACGACATCCTTTGGCGACTAAAGTGTTTGGTCGCTAAATGTACGTAATTGTATTAGCGACTAAAAGTTAGTCTCTAATAATTTAATTTAGTTTTATTAGTCGCCAAAAGATGCCTTTGCCGACTAACCAAAGTTAAGTAGCCAAAAGTTCAATTTCGGCCACCAATAATTTAGTCACCAAAAGATCACCTTTCCCGACTAACCAAAGTTTAAGAATGCGGAAAGCATTGAAGAAGTCGATGCAGGTGGAGTTTGAGACTCCAGCAAAGACTAGTCAGCCAATCAACCATCCTGAAGAAGTCTCAGAGGATAGCTCTGAAGAGAGTTCAGATGAAAATGAAGATCCAGAGGCTCCGCAACAATCAGAACCCATTGCAATCAGGAAAGGAAAAAGGGTTACTAAGCAACCCAGTTGGTGACCGATATGGTAGCCTATGCACTCCAATCATTGAAGACAATATTCCTTGCACTTTCAAAGAAGCCGTGCATAATGCAGAAAGTTGCAATGGAAGGAGGCTATGGATGAAAGAGATCGGGTCACTTCACAAGAACCAGACTTGGGAGTTGGTGCAACTTCCAAAGGCAAGAAAGCAATTGGGTGTAAGTGGGTTTACCCAAGAAGGAAGGCATTCCAGGCAGAGACAACATCAGATTCAAAGCTAGATTGGTAGCTAAAGGCTATGCTCAAGAAGGAAGGAACAGACTACAATGAGTATTCTCACATGTTGTGAAGCACACGTCTATTCGCATCTTGTTAGCTTTGGTTGCACAGTTTGATCTCGAGCTCGCCCAACTCGACGTCAAAACTGCCTTCTTACATGGAGATCTTGAAGAGGAGATATACATGTCCCAGCCAGATGGTTTCAAAATTGCTTGAAAAGAGAATTGGGCCTGTAAGCTGAACAAATCGTTGTACGATTGAAGCAATCCCCGAGACAGTGGTACAAGCGATTGATCGGTTTCATGATGGAGACAGAATACACAAGAAGTCAATTTGATCATTGTGTATATTTCCGTAAGCTTCCCGACAGTTCCTTCATCTATTTGCTCTTATATGTAGATATATGCTGATTGCATCTACGAGCAAGGTGGAGATTGACAAACTCAAGGCACAGTTAGCAAAGGAGTTTGAAATGAAGGATTTGGAGAAGCAAAGAAAGTTCTTGGCATGGAGATCAAGAGAGACAGGAAGAAGGGCACGTTTGTCTGACACAAACCCAGTATCTGAAAAAGGTGTTAGACAGATTTGGCATCAATAGGAAAACCAAAGCTGTAAGTACACCATTGCCCCTCATTTCAAGCTTAGTGCTTCGTGTTCTCCACGCACAGAAGAAGAACGGAAGCATATGGCGTACAGGTTCCATATGCAAATGCAGTTGGTGCATTAATGTATGCTATGATTTGTACACGGCCTGACATCTCGCATGCTGTGAGTATGGTAAGCAGGTATATGCATGATCCAGGAAAAAATCACTGGCAGGCAGTGAAATGGATCCTAAGGTACATACATGGCACGGTCAATCTGGGATTGAAGTTCGAGAGAGATAACCGACTCGGGCAGAATTTGGAAGGAATGTGACTCAGATTATGCTGGTGACTTAGACAAACGCCGATCAACAACAGGGTATTTATTTACGCTGCTAAAGGCCGGTAAGTTGGAGTCAACGCTTCAGTCAACGGTGCTTTGTCTACTACAGAGCAGAGTACATGGCAGTGACGGAAGCCTTTAAGAAGCTATTTGGCTACATGGTTGATTGAAGACTTGGGAATTGTTCAGAAGCACGTTGAGGTGTTTTGTGACAGTCAGAGTGCCATTTGTTTGGCAAAGAACCAGGTTCATCATGCCCGCACCAAGCACATTGATGTCCGTTTCCATTTCATCCGAGAAATTGTGAATGAAGGGATATTCTGCTTAGAAAGATTGGTACTGCAGATAATCCGGCCGATATGCTCACAAAGGTAGTTTCTGGATCAAGTTCCAACATTTGTTGGACTTGGTCAACATCTCTCGGAACTGAGCACCTTCGCGTGCATGGCAGTGTTGATCGATCACTATGTTGGATAAGAGAATCCTCGCCAAGGTGGAGATTGTTGAATATTGGCTACAGTTCTAGCCATGTGGTGGAAAGTGGCAGCCAGCTACATGGTGGGAAGCCATGAGGCCATGTGAGTTGGCCATGAGCCATGAGAATCCATGTGAAGCTTCAATCTGTAAAGCCACCGAAAGCACAACAATGGGCTGGCAGCCAGCTCATTTCAAAGGGTTCCTCTTGCATTTGTAATCTCTATATATAGAGAAAGCTAAGGAGAGTTGAGGTACAGCTGAGGGGTGTGAGCTTAGAGAGCAAGAGAGAGAGAATTACAGAGAGAATTGTAATTCTTACCATTTTGTTCAATATAGTGAATTCGCTGCCCGTGGACGTAGGCGACTTACCGAACCACGTTAAATCTTGTGTGTTATTGC